AGATTGTTACCACTACTTTTTCAAGCAGTTGTCCTCCATAAACAGATATAAGTAAAAATGGTCCTGAGAAAAAATAATAACAAAAAGACATAAAACTATGAATTATTCTCAAATCATACAAATAATGAGTCATGCTAACCCTGTATGATCCTCCTCATTTGGGGCAGATCAAGGCTCTTGGAGAGTCTGCAGTGCCACTGAATGGCTACCTTAACTTGGTACAGCTTGAAGCAACTGTTACAGCCTCTGTGTCTTTGACATACTAGCAAAAGCATGGAAACACTCACCACATATATTCTGACAGTATATGGCTTTAGACTAGTTCACTATTTGGAGATAAAGTGTGTCTGTATTAATCACTGTCTATCGCGATGGACTCTGTGCCTCTAATAAACTACCAAAGCATAGCCACGGAATATCTTACTCTACCTGGACATTTTACATCCAGTATAATTTGCAGATACCAAATAGCCTAGGAAAATGCCTAAATAAGATAATACCGCCTTCTATTATACAATGAAGAGAAAATACAGGAGAAAAAGTCGAACTTGCATGATTGCATCTTCGGATTTATTGGAACTATTCTTTGAAGTTTCATGAAAAAAGGAAACAAGATATGAAGAGAAATGAAAGTATTCAAACATTAAATATCAAATCGTTTTATTTTCTTTAACTTATTAGATAAACTACCTTTTAAAGATATTTAGGCTCGGTAAATCTTTTGTTTACTCTCTGGACGGTTGTGTCGATTCCTAGGATTGGTATTTTACGGATCACTTTTTCATAGAATTTTATTTTGCCTTTCAAATGTGATCATTTAACTGTTTTTAGGCTAAGTATTTCTTAAACTTTAACAGAGTGGATCGATTCACTTTGTTTTACGCACATTTTCCCTATTTTTATCAGATATCCTTTCAAGTAATGAGAATATTTGCTTTGCATATATTTCCCAGTAACACACACACACACACACACACACACACACACACACACACACACACACACACACACACACACACACACACACACACACACACACACCACACACACACACACACACAACACACACACACACACACACACACACACACACACACACACACACACACACACACACACACACACACACACACACACACGTATCTAGACGCTGTGTAATCCTTAATAAGAAGTTTCAGTCAGTGTTTGTTCAGAACCCATATTTTACCATGGCAAATAACCATACAAACGTTAAGAAATATAGAAAATACCACTCACAAAAAGAATTAAATATTAGACCTGAAAGGGTTAGACAAGACTAAAGCATACAGACCAGATGAAAATTCTAACTGTTTCGAAGAACTATGTGTTCCTCCTTTTTTTAATATTCCAAAATTCTACCAAAAGGTTGGAATCTCGCCAAATTATACCCTTATATAAGAGCGGCGACAAACAATATCCTCTAAATTATAGACCTCTTTCGTTAATGAGTGTAGTATATAAGCTGTTAGAAAGGATAATTAGGAAACAATGGGCTGCAGTACTTGAAAAACACGAAATGATATCAAATAAGCAGTTTGGTTTTCGGAAAGGAAGATTAAGTGTAGCAAATCTCCTGTTTTTATGACAAAGTTTCTCAAATATTACGAGAAAAAGACAGCTGGGTGGATGGAATGATTTCCTTCATGAGAGACAGCTAAGCACCGTAATTAGAGGGAAGACTCTACAGTGACCAGCAGAGTGCCTCAAGGATTGGTCTTGGCGCCGATATTTTATTTTCATCAATGAGACACACACACACACACACACACACACACACAACACACACACACACACACACCACACACACACACACACACACATGTAACTCTGAGACCACATAAGTAGCCGATTTTTTAATTTCTTGAGGGGGGGGGGGACTGGTTGACATAAGAGTACTATTTTAGTTATTTTTTCAGCTTTACATAATCTATATTTTTATCTATTCAAAAATAAAAAATATCGGCTATTCGTATGGTTTCAGGGTTCCGATGCTTTAGTAAAAGCAACAAACTGCGTTTGAATCCCTCGAAAATTACGAAAAGTTGGGTGTTCCTAAGGGTGTGTGCACAGAGAAAGCAGGTTTTCCTAGGACCATCTGAGCTTAGCTCAGGTAAGAAATCACACACACACACACACACACACACACACACACACACACACACACACACACACACACACACACACACACACACACAAGATTATCGGGCCTAAACTGTGTCTACCCGTGAACCTCTCGATTGGCCAAGTACCTGATAATGTTACCCTTTTAATTGCAGTCAAATGTCAATGACGCCAAATTACTGAAACACGTCTGTCACAAAAGAAAACGGAGAGCCTCTCAGATGTGTTACAAGAATATGCCTAAGATTAGGCTTTTCAACTGGTCAAGAGTATACTAGGAATAATGTGTCCTAAGGTTTGGAGTCACACGACCTAAGGTGTTCCGAACTAAGGGCGTAGTGTTAATGATGTTATGGTAAGCCTAGAAACTTATAAACACTAGGGGAGGGTCGTTAACGTGAACTCGTTCAAACGGAGCCAGCGTTATCATGCTAGGGAATTTGGACTACTGACTACTGGGGAGAGCGATCCTTCTTCAACATCCTAGGAACTAAACCTATTCCGTTTTTACAATGTATAGTGAGGGAGTCTTTTGTTCCTTCAAAAATCCGGGATCATGTGGTATGAAGGGAAGAACTGTCGACGTACCTCAGCCAAGGTGAAAGTCTAAGATGGAAAAAAGAAACTCGGACTCACTACTCCATATGTAAGATAGTCAAGACCGGAATAAGAGGAAAGAGCACATGTCCTAGCCTGGAATCTTAGAATAGAATTTCAACCTTGAGAGTTTTCCAGGGTATTGCCAGTCGACTACTCTTACTACAGACCACTCAACCTTTTATGCTGTCTTTGCCTGCCCTCTGGTCACTTACTGCATGGGCTTCCCTTTACGTTTCTTCACACCTGATAAATTCTGTGGTCTCCTGACATGCATTGCATGGAAAGCCATAACATAGTCAGATCATCTCTCCATTTACTTAATCAGTAAGCTACGTCAAAAGGGATTTCTGAAGGAGAGGTCACAGCATCTCCCCCTAAATGAAACCAAGGTGAAGCAATGTGGCTGTTCATGAGATGCTAATGGACGTGTTGCGTCGAAGGCGTCTACTATGCCTTCCCAGGACTGCGGCTCTGAGAATCCTAGAAATGGATCAGACCTATATCCCATGGCTGACAATGTACCTTATTAATGTGCTGGTCTTTGGTTTCAAACCAGCTTGTTTCGGACTAGAAGCGATCTGTTGAGGCCGTCCCATCGCCTACTTTGAGGACTGTTATACTATCTCTTGCAATTCCTCGATCGGGCTGGGATAGTAAAACGCTGCTGTCTCCATCACCGATGTTGAGGTAGCTGCTGACAAGGAACTCCCATAGATCCTTGGTTTTCCGCAGGCGCTGCAGGCTGCGGAAGGCTAGTGTCTCTCTCCATGGAATGTAGGAGTTTGTTCACATCCACTCACAGAGTTCGTCTTTGCGGGGGTCTGTACAGGATGATCAATACTCGGAGGCTGTGAACAATATCCAACAAAGACGGATATTACGCTTCACACCTCTGTCTCCAGCAGATACCTTCCAGTAGTAAGTTTATCCTTTAGTGGACATGCCTCGTCAGACAGAGGGGAGAGAAAGATGGGCAAAGAGACGAAGACACACGTCTAGCTCGTCACCACTCTTTCCTCAGCACGTTGGGAAACGGGTCTCTTACGGTTCACACATCTACTTTCCATAATAAACTCACAAACCAAGGCCCCTTTCATTCACTTGCACTAAGACCACTCCCGTCTCGTAGACAACTGGTGACAACGGTCTTCTCTTCAGATCTGATGACATGCGATCCTCACAACCTCTTTCTCGTTGATATCCGATGGCAGCAGTTCTCCCAACATCTTTCGTGTTGATGGGGGCTTTTGACTCTAGAAGCGCAGGAAGGCATTTTGAAGCGGGAAGAGCCAGGGAGATTCCCTCCAAAAATAGCTAGGGGTACTGGGGCAGTGCTCCAGTGGGATACCAGGGGGCGAAGATAATACTTGACAGATTGGTTATCTTATTATGAACAACACTCAATTGTGGTTGCCTTTTCAGTCCCAGGGGGTCAGTGTTCTCAACCAATGGGTAACTAAGGAATTGCACTGTTTGTTTGTTTACGGAGAACGTCCTCGAAAGTTGAGGATGGGAGGGGCAAAAGTTGGGTCCCGCCCTCCTCAATTCTAGCTTGGGGGCAGTCGCCTCCCTTTTTCCGATGCCTATGCTCTCTTGCTAGGCGCCAACAAACGCGGCAACACGAATGACCGTACTGTAGAACTGCATCAAGATCTGTGTATACTCAGCCAGGATTTGTGCAAAAATTATAACCCATGCCGGGTTAGGAACAAGTAGCTCCAAAATGCCAGGGCTCTCTGCCGCCGCCTCCTGTTGGTGATTCTCGTAGAGGAGGTGGGAATGGGGCAAACCTATAATGCAGCTTGATTATGGTAGGATTGATCTGGCGAGACCCTCTAAAATCATTACATAATGGATGCTCATTGATCAGTCTTGTTACTAATGCAAATACGAGTATTCTTTACAGAAATAGGCGAAAGGGATTTTCATAAAGGTACAGGTCTGGCAAGGCCTGGCACAAGAATGACCTCCGTAAACGTAGTCACCAATTATTAACCCATTATATATTAGGTAGCCGTATTAACAATGGATCCCGACATGATTAATGCTGATGTCTTTCAGATTACGTCATTATATGGCCGTAGATAGAACCAGCAGTAGTAGTAATAGCAAGAGTAGCAGTTGTAGTAAATTATAAAAATATGCTATAATAATAAAAATAGTTGTAAACTGTTTATGTACTTAGTTACACAAGAATAGCTACCAACTTTCTTGTATATTTCGAAAATATGCATGCATATTTAAAGGTCTAAAAAAAAAAACGGCCCATATGCATGATTCGCCCAATAAACACGCCACATAATGTCTGTCGAAAATAAAATCATCCACTGAAATATAAACAAGCCTCCAAATAATATCCAACACAAATAACATACAAAAGAAACGAGCAAATAATCATCATAAATACACAACATGTGTGAAACTTAGATGAAATTAATAAACGCACCCAGTCGCCGCTGATGGACGTCGCCTGTTAAACGCGGCGACTGCAGTGGGCGAGTCAATAACAACTCTGGAATTTCTGTTTCGCTCTGCTGTCGCAGCCTGCAATGTGAGTTCTGAGAGGAATTATTTCATGTGGGTTACTTTATGCGATGGTATATGGATATCTTAGGATCTGCAGTTGGAGTTGATTTATATATGTTAGATATAATCAGTTGTTTGTGAGTCGGGTAATTGATTATTGTTGTAAATAATGAATTAGAGAGGATATGTTATGACATTGTCAGTCTCTTTTTACCTGCTTAGGTCTAACCCAAAGTTATCATTGATGTTTGCAAAGAAATTCACAATGGTAGTTATATATTTTATTTACTTTTTAGTTTAAAAGAGTGAAATCTAGGGCCAAGGCCTATATGGATTTACCCAAAATATATTACACCCTATGGTAATTCTTTACAGTACAAACACATTTGTTAGAGACTATGTCCCCAACTCAATGTCAAAAAATTTATTCATCAGTCTCAGTTGGTGTGACTGGGCTTGACCTTTGGGTACTGCCTGTTGATAGGGCGCTCTGCCTCCCCAACACCCCCCCGGGAAACATTGTTTTCTCCTTAGTATGCTTGGCAAAATGGAGCTGAAACTCGAGCACACTGAGTGGACTTAGGCTGAGAGTGGTGCTTTCAGTGATCTTTTTCCTTTATTTGTGGCACTACTGTTCGTCTCTGCAGATTTTTTCTTGTACAGACACTGCAACTTTTTATCTTCTATAAGAATGTCATATTCAGTTTGCCCTAACTTAGTGTGCCCTTACTGTAAAGATTAACCCACCACATAATGAATTGGATAATCAGGCTTTTTTCAGTTGTATTTTATCACAAATTACATGTTAGTTAGAGTGGATTTTACCTGATGATGTCATGGTTCATGGTTATCTTCCAGGCATGTCATGATCTTACCATACATTATGCTAGTATACTTCTTTATCTCTCCAGGTAATGATCTTATAGCTTATTGCTACAATACCTGAGCTCACAGGAGATAGGTAATGTTATGGATACCTTGCATAATCAAGTCGCAACAATTTTGGCATGAATGGATTCCACTCACCAACTAGTACACAAATTCATAGGAATTATGCCATGGAACCCACCCCCCAAACCCCCATATTCTTGGCCCCAATAGCAGCAGAGGACATTTCAGGTTCCAGGGAAAGTGTAAGGTAAAATATGAACAAAATACAAGAAATGTGTCACAGTATCTGCTGTGACCATGCCTTTGGGGGGTTGCTATCCCCACCTCCCTGGAAGACAAAGTATCCTTCACATAGTCACATCAGTGTAGAGTGTATGACCACCATATGGGAATGCCTGATACTGAGTCTGACCTAGGCTCTATCTTACTGTACATACAATGATGGATTCTTTGTTGTCCAAGATGGAGGTTGTGGGATTTGTAGGGGGCACAGCCCCCTGCATATATTGACTGATTCTCTGTTTCTTTTTTGTAATGTACCCCATAATTTCCCTGGTACCGTTTATGTCCTCTCCGGTTATTGGGACTAAGATTGTAGGTATCGGGGTGTTTTTGTAGCAGTTTCTATATATTTGGGAAGTAGAGAGTGAGAGGAATCCATCAATACCAATGTCATTGTGATCAGTTATGTGAAGGTATTCTGAATATTTACCATAGATTGATAAAGGTTGATAATGTAGATTCAGAACTATCCATAACTACCAATATTGTTGGTACTGTGATATTAGTATCAGTGATATATGTTTGTTCTAATTTCACTCAGCTTTATGATACAAGGTAAACAGTAGATACACGGACTGAAAGATAGAGCTATAAGATGGAAAGTACTTCATCTGTGGCATTCCTTTTGCAATTTGACAATAAAATAGTTAGTCTACATGATACCATTAGTACAATTGTCTTATGGAATTGGGTTTGCAGCCCACCATCCCCATTTTATGCAAACGTTCAGTATTATTGTGTGTGCATACAAGCTGGTCTTTAACCAGGAAATCAGCAACTGGGCAGATAGAAATATCTATAGTGAAGTATCCTGTGGCATGTTTGTATAAGCTTCTAGAATTTTTTCTTTTGTTGTTTTTTCCTTTTTTTTCAAGAATTGGAGCATATACTGGCACATAAGTTATATGATTTAACTGTATAGATTATGTGCTTATTTGTATAACATCATTGTAACTTAAATTATTGATAAAACTTTGGTACATATATGGTTCATATATTGGTTGCACTTAGATTTAGGATGCATATGATATAAAAGCAAATTTTTGTCCTATACTCAACCGCAAATATTCTCTTGATAAAATTTCTCCTATGGGTACTTTATACATTCAGCAGCCCACCTGTGAGATTGGTAAATTACCTAGTCATGTAGCTTCTCTGCAGGTTTTAAAATAAAACTATTTCAAACTCCCTCTCTGGCCTATTTTTACCCATACACAATTATGCTTGCATCATAGGCAAGTAATGTAAATTCCATGATAGAAAAGGATGCTTGGAGGATAATGTATGATGAGAGCATATTGTAGCTGAAATAGGGAGGTGTGAAATATTCCATGGTGGGAGATCAGAGTGATATTGAAGAGGCTTGAGAATGGTGTCAGAATGTGTAAGACCTCAAAACATACTCTTATAATCTTATTTGAAGACGTATGATAGTCAGGCTATTTTATCATACCAAATTTCACTCAGAGGAGTGATTTTAGAGATTTTTCATAACATGTGCTGCCTTCTGCTAGAGAGAGACCCTCCTTTATACTGTCACTTGCTTGGCATTCTTCACCATGGTGTTTCTTGCCCTTGATGCAGGCATGTGTATGTGAGTGCTTGCATAAGAATATGTAGAAAATGTGTCAAAATGGTGCTGAAGTGATCAACATTATTCTTCTCAGAAGATTGTAGAAGTCCGTAAGAAAGAGTGACTAAGTCCTCACTCTCATATCCCAATCTAGCTGATAGAAATGCTGTTTCTGTAAGTGTGGTCTTAGTAATATTAGGGGTTGAAAATATGAAGAGTAATTTTAATACCATGTGCAATGCAACTGTATGTATTTCCATATTTTATATTGCTTGTTTATATCATGCTATCTTTTTTCTTCTATTATATATTAATTTGCAAAAGGCAGATGCCTTTTATCTCAGTTATAGTGCATACATAATTTTATACTTTTTAACCCTTCAGTTATGGGTACATCTAAAGCCTTCATGAGGTAATGGGCCTGTGGTATATATAAGTGTCATGACTCACAATGGGTAGGCTGGCTGACCTAGGCCTGGCCACAAAGTCTAGACGGTTATGTAATGTTATGTTACATCAGATCTACAACCATATGATGGAGTAATCAGAAAGACACCAAGATTAAAAAATTCAGGCCCCATCATAATAGGGTTAACCCTATCATGATAGGGTGAGAATAATCTGTAACATAGTCTTTATGCAACAGAAAATTCATCCTGGCTGGGTACAGCTGGCCCACCCACTTGCTCGCTAGTGCGAGTCGTGATGTGTATACAATTCATTTGCCATTTTGTCATGAAGGCTGTAGGCATTCCCATTAATAAAGGCTTAAGGATAAGTATAATGATTGCTATGTATTATAATAGTTTTGTAACATCACTCAAGTTGAACAATGGCCCATAGTGACAGATGTAAACAAAAGTACAGTATCTGCATAGGCTAAAGTAAAGTAGTTCATATATAAAACATAACAATGAGTCTTGTATGCTCATTGAGCCCTTATCTATGTGATAAATCCAAATAAATTTGTTTTAGTTTGTCTTTAGATATTTTGTCAGGTTTATCTCATTGATGTATAGAGTATTTTCTTAATATTTTAAACTAACAGATGATTTGCTTATATCTTATTGATAACTTGATAAGGGGCCAAAGAAGTGTCCTAAGGATCCATGTTCACTGTGCTTTTGCAGTATTGGCTGCTGCTTCAGAAGATTTCCACAAGAGGGCTTGTGGAGAGCTTACAAGTCCCTGTATAGCAGAGGTGTTGGGGCCACACCCCCTCATCTCTCTGCTAGGGGATCACCACAGGCCAAGGCAAAAGTGATATGGTACGAAGGCCAGAGATATCCAAATAGATAATATAAGATTATTTACCGTAGTTTTCTTGTAAGCCTTCTTAGACATATTGTCCTTATTTGATAGCTAAATCTGCATGATATTAAATTGAAGTTCTGTTCATTATTGGCATATTAGGAAGAAAGAAGTAGAACTTAAATGATAATGCTATGAAGAAAAAGAAGAAAAAATCATTATACCTTTCTTAGTGTTTACATGGAGATGCATGCTGTGTGTTAAGTCTGAATGGTACTGATATAGTCTTGACTAAAGCAAAGTATTATTGCTATAATGTATTAGCTAATTCTGTTGCGTTTTTAATGACCTGTATAATCGAGTACTATGCTACGATAGGATTTAAATTCTACTTCCTCCCAATGGTGTTAGCGTTAATGATAATAAAGTAAAGGAAGAACACACACTCTATAATACTTTTTTCTTTTTGTTGTGTGTAGAGTTTATTGCATTTGCTTTAGATCTTAAGCCCTCCCTAAACCTAGCTCATTGTCGTCATCGGAGGGCTTAGGAGACGGGGACTGAGACCCAGTGTAGAGGATTACCCCTACCTTGGGCCTCAGCCCTTGCCTCAACTAATTTTGCTTGGTCCTTTCTTCGCTTTCCATTTCCGTATCTTCTATATTCCCTTCAATCCCATTCCTAAAGTGTGAGAGTTGTGCTGAAAGGATGAAAGGCTGGCTTTATGTCTGTCATGAATGTCCTCCGGGAGCCATTGGCACAGTATTCCTTTGGTTAATTACTTAGCCCTTACCGATTATGGGGACACTAAGGGGTAGACTGTTTCTTGCCTGTCTGAATTTGATTTTGATGGTTTTCTGACACCTGCCCCTCCTTTGACCATAGCTCTGACCACTGATGCTAATAACTCCTCTTCGACGCTTACGAACAACTCTAACCATTCTGAAACAGCCACCCAGGTTATTACTCAACCCCTAGGAAACACCTTTTCCTCATCCCCAACATTCTCCTCTTCATCCCCTGCTGCACAACCCTCTTCAATATCTACTCCCTCTTCCATTATTACTACTATTCATCCTTATTGTCCTCCACTCCACACCTCCCCATCTTGCTCTCGCCCTCGTCCTTCTACTACGTCTACCTCTGCAAACCCTCTGAGTACTCTATTTGGCCCAGCCAAGTGGGGTCGATTCTTTGTGATTCCCCCCACAGCCCCCTATTCTGAGAATACCCTTCTCTTTCAGCAGTGCCTCCAGAAACAAGTAGGCAAGGTTATCTTTTGCAGTCGCTCTTATCGTTCACGCCTTGTCATGGTTATATCTGAAGCCCAAGCTCGTTAACTATTAACCGTAACTGACCTTATTGGCAAACCCATTCCTGCCGAACCTCACCCAACTCTTAATACTTGTACTGGAACTGTTTCTATTCCCCCAAATGCTTGTCCCATGTATAACAAAGACTGGTCACACTGTGAAAATGACCTGCTTTCCTGTCTTGGTGAATATGATGCAGTGGCAGTACAATGTTACCCTCTTCCTCCTAGAGGCCAACGTAAATCCCACGTTAATATTGCCAAGATTAGCTTCCATAGGCAAGACCTCGTCTATGAGGTTTATATTAGTTGATTGTCTTATCATGTCCAACAATATCAACCCCTTCCTTGTCAATATAAAAAATGTTGGCATTTTGGCCACCCAGCCAAACATGTTGCTCCACAACCAACTGCCTTCTATGTGCCCAACCTGGTCATGACTGTTCAAATTGCCCTGCATAGTCACGTATATGTGCCAATTGTGGAGGCTCCCATTATGTGTTTTATTGGATCTATCCTGCCCCTAAGTTCGAATGTGAGGTAGCAGTCCTCAGATTAAAACTAGGCCTCACTCTATGTGCGGCCAGACAGGAAGCACGCCGACGAGGTTTTTCTCTCTCAACTTATTCCAAAACAGTCCTACACTCTGCTCCCCCACCAACTACACGAGATATTTCTGCATCTTCCCAGGTATCTTTTCACTATACCCAAAACATACATCCTATGTGTACTCACCCTATTCACCAGTCAGATCCATTTTGCATCCTAAATCCAGATACTCCAATATCTAACACTTCCCAGATACCTACCCCTCCGCCTCCCTTTAGTTGTCATACCAGACAACCTAAGCATTCCACTCCACGCTCTCCTACTACATCGTATAACTTCGTATAATGTATGCTATACGAAGTTATTACGGTGGAGGGGAGGACAATAAGGATGAATAGTAGTAATAATGGAAGAGGGAGAAGATATTGAAGAGGGTTGTGCAGCAGGGGATGAAGAGGAGAATGTTGGGGATGAGGAAAAGGTGTTTCCTAGGGGTTGAGTAATACCCTGGGTGGCTGTTTCAGAATGGTTAGAGTTATTCGAAAGCGTCGAAGAGGAGTTATTAGCATCAGTGGTCAGAGCTATGGTCAAAGGAGGGGCAGGTGTCAGAAAACCATCAAAATCAAATTCAGACAGGCAAGAAACAGGCTACCCCTTAGTGTCCCCATAATCG